TTGAAAGGTGTGATATTTTCTTGGCTAAGTATGATTGTAGGTGTGAAGGGGCTGATGTGAGTCCGAAGGGTAATCTCAAGTACTCGTACTTGAGCCCTTCAAACTCAAAAGCCGTGAATCTACTAGAATTCTCATCGAGGGTAAGTTGATGAAAGCCTTTCGTTAAATCCACGGTTGAGAACACCTTATTGGCCAGAAAGATCTGGATCAATTCATCGTAACTGGGAAGGTTCTGATTAAACCTTTTCAATAAAAGGTTGATTTGACGAAAATCAATAACCAAACGAATCTCCCCAGTCTTCTTCTTGACAACTAGAAAAGGTGAAGAATAAGGCGAGTTAGAGGGTTGAATAAGTTTAGAATCAACCATACGCCTAATATGATTTCTAACCTCATGCAAAAGAGCAATCTTAACCTTCGGAATATACGGGGTCGTTGGAACTTCTTCCGACATCGGTTCAAGCCTGATATTATCTGCCCCCCGAGACTCAACAACTTGATTAATCCCAAGCTTCTCCGCAAAAATATCCGCATAATCAAACAACAATTTCTCTAATCTAGGATCGTCTATCTCAACAGGATCCAGGCTAAGAGCAGCCATAGCACTAATACTTTCAATGGATTTCTCATCCAAATCGTCCACCCCCACATCTCCCACAGTAAGATTAGCAAAATCAATAAGATGGGCATATTCTCTAATGAATGGAAGCCCCACAATAACAGTAGGTGAAACAATCGGGTGCACATAACAACGGATCTTCACAACAGTATGGTTAAATGTAACAGGGATAATCACATACCTGTCTACCGCATCATACTGATTAGTTGCAGTCTTGATTGTTCTTGGGCTAATCCTAGTAAGATCGGCACTATCATAACCGAGCTTAGGCAAAATAGACGGATTTACAAAACTGTAACTCGCCCCAGAATCAATAAGAGCTTTGGTAACAAACCCAGCAGGTCCCATAGTAACAGGAACCTTGAAAGCAACAACATCCTCATACGGAACTGCATGGTCCTCCTCTTGGACGCAATCCATAAGGTGAGCCAAACGAGCACCAGACCCACCACCACCACGGCGAGGGCAGTCCATGCTCTGATGTCCGTGTCCTTTACACTGGAAACAATTTCCAAGAATAAGCAACAGCCTCACCTCCTCCTGGGTGAGATTAAATTTCTTGCAGAGGGCGGCAATCTTACCACTAGACTTGCGAGGATATGAGTTTCCCCGAGAACTTGGTACTGATTGCAAAGCATCCAATTCCATTGGCATCGGACCACCTCTATCCATAGGCGAAAACGTAGACGGCATAGGGATAGTCAGAGTATGGATGGTTCTTTCAGTAAGATCATTAATACTAAGTGCATGAGAAATCACATCATCTAATTTCTCATAAATGCGTCCTGCATCTGCAATGTGCTTCTGCAAACGCGGGTCCAAGGAATCGATAAAACGATTAATTTTTGAACGTTCTGACCAATCTGGAATGTACACAACATTCGCTTGAAACTCAGCAACGTGGGACAGAAGCGCTTTTCCTTTTTGCGCAATTGTCCACAATGTTCTTTCCAAAATGTCAACCATATCAACTCTAGAAAAGTGCGCAAGCACTTGAGCCTTAAAGGCTCTATAAGAGATATCTGACGGCAAGGAGTCAGAAAAAGAAGAAAAACTTCTAAAAGTATCTTGAGCCACGTTTCTCACGATAAAACTCATCTTATACTTGTCATTCCAATTAAGTGGCATCTGGTGTTCTGCATACTGGAAGAAGTCATGCAATGCCATGGGAGTGCGGGCAAGCATCCCTGTACTAAACGGCTTTCCGTTAAACTTGACCTCCATAGGGTCTAACACGCGACCGGCCTTCTCTTTACCGTGAAGCATTTCAACGAGCTCCATGAGCAACAGACGATTAGAATCGTCCAACGGTCCACCCGGCATACTCATCTCGTTTTCTTCGCCTGAATAATTATCTTCTTCGTCTGAGCTAGGGCTTAAACCAAATACAGTCATACACTAGGATAACCAAGCTATGCTATTAAACGACAACAGAAGTTTATAATCAGTGGAGTCTGTAAAACTAAAAACCTAGTGGTGCTACCAATTGTTATATTACGATGCGACTAGACTAGATGTAGTTAGTCACGGGTTAGGATTGATTTAGTAATTACTCTCTGAAGAACCAGAGATCATATATATTGAAAACTTTTCATAATCGACGACTATAATTATATACTAATGGTTATGAGCTTATGGTTATGAGCACGTGTATCGTTGCCTATAACCAATAGCTCAAACCATACTACAACATTAACGATCTGCTCTTGGTGGCCAAGTTGGTAAGGCATCGGACTGTAAACTTCCAGCAATAATCCGCAGATCGGGTGTTCGAATCACCCCCAAGAGAATTTTTTGCCAAAACGGTACTTACTAATAGTAATCTCTGATGCTTATGGTATTACTTTATAATTGATACAGTGGTTTCTTTTTTTATTTGTACCAACAACTGGAAAAGTTCATACCAGTGGCAAAAAATGCTTCATATCGACCCCCGGTATTTTTCGTACCATTGCACTGGGATTCATTCATACCAAACTACAAAAATATTTCATACCATTCATTACATTGTAGTTATTCGTACCATTTTACTTTAATGGTTCCAAAGCCTCTTAGTTACTTAATTTAATCAAAAAATACTCAATTTTGCAGAACTCAGCGCTCTTTTCTGTAAGGCTGCCAGTAGTGCAGACCCCCAAACATGGCTCTGATACCATAATGTCCCAAGATAACTCTAACTCTAACTATAACTTATCCGTCATTTCCAATGCGGCACCTACAGACTATCATACTTCCGCTCCGGTGAACTCTAGCAAGAATTTACAGAAAATATGGGTTACAAGTAATGGTGTTATAGCTATTTGTTTGAAATCGTCTCATTCATCTTCTAACACTCTAAGGTGTTATCAGTAAAAATGGTACGATTACGACCAGCAAAAAATATTTTGACTGGGACGGGATTCGAACCCGCGCATCCGAAGAAATCACGGCCTTAACGTGACGCCTTAACCACTCGGCCACCCAGCCTATGTAAAACACTCTTTCGAGTACACCGAACCTGGGACTCGAACCCAGAATCTCCTGATTAGAAGTCAGACGCCCTAACCAATTAGGCTAGCCCGGCTTTCTTAGTTTGTGTTATATTATTGGATCATGGTTGGGTTGAGTCTTGGTTACCAACGGTGGGTGGTATTACTTGAACTAGCGGATGACATTGAGAATACCAATGATTCAATTTCCTTAGAAGTTATGAATAGCAGCACATTCTCAGATGCTGAAAGGACAGCGTACTGGGATTTCAGAAAAGTTCTTGGTATAAAGAAACGTACAATCAGGTTGAAGCCAATGAAGATTGGAATTGAAGATTTGAAAAATTCAATTGAAAAAGGGATTCCTGAAAAATATCAACAACACATTCCAATTAGAATTAAGGATTTTGACCATACTAAAGGAAGTAAAAAACAACGGGAAAAACAAGATGTGAACAAGATGTCAAAAACACTCATGGTCATTACTGGGGTGAATCAGAAACAAGTTGATAACTTTTGGCATAACCTCAAAAAATTCAACCAACATTTCCCGGGGAAATATCAAAATATTCACATCTTTCATTTGGGCATTGAAAATCACAATTACGTAAATAATCATTGTGACTATTGCAGCAAAAAATTAACCAGATATGATGAACCCCAATATGCCCCAAAGGAAATCCAATTTGAAATCATGAAGCACCATCTTATTGAATGTCCATTGGCCCAGAAACTTTGGAAAAAAATTGACTTGAATATCCCATTAACCTGGCAAACAATCATTACCCCTGCCACCAACATGAACGAAACCAGAACGATCGATAGATATCTAGGTTTCCAACGAAAATTATCAAGATTGAAATCCAAAAGGCATTTCAATTGTCATATGGCCGTTGATTCAATGATCTTCTTGCTTGAAAGCAATATCTTTTAAGCGGAGAAGAAGAAATAGGTGGGGAAAAACAAGAAAATAAAATCAAAAAAAAAAACAACAATTAAAAACCTTAAAAACGCATAAAAACATTTTTTCACAATAATAGGGTTTTTCACCATTAATGGTTTTCCCTTAACACTTTAATTTTCAAACTACATTAGGTAGTTTATGAGATATATAGTTATATAATTAATTAATATATTGAATTTTGTCTTTAAAAAAAAAAAAGATTCAATACCGCCGCAAAAAAAAACCGCCGTTTGGTGACATCAGTAAAAAAATCATGAGAACCACTAGAAATAGTAATAAAGCTACCCCAAACTACTCCACCGACCCTACTAATGATCCCCCAATCATTGAAACCCCGGTTTCTTGGGGCTCTTCATTGGATGTTGGCGCAACATCTGAAACCCCGATCCCGATAGCAAACATAAACAAACAAGCTAAAGATCAAGATTCCGATGAAGAAATTACTGATGCAGCCGACAATACTATTAATAGTACTGTTGAAACCTTTTTAACTGCTTCAGAAGATCCTGAAGCGGACCAAAACATGGATTCCAACGCCATTTCTACCCCAACTACCTCTCCAGCAATTAATGTTTCTTCAGTTGATTGCGATCGCAATTCTCATGCAGCATGTGACACTGACATTGACATGCATAATCCTGTTATTCCAACCCAAGCCGTTATTTCTACTGATTTTATTAATGAAAACTCCGAAAACCAAAAAAAAATCGAAAATTCTCAAAACCCAAAAAAAAATTCTGTTTCTGTTCCTTCTGTTTCTGTTCCTTCTGTTCCTGTTCACTCTGTTCCATCTTCTACCGTCGCTTCTCCAACTACGGCCACCAATCCGGTGGCTCCAGCTGTCAATGTGACAAGACCAATCCAAACCTATGCTCAAGCCACCGCTGGAGACAAGCGCACACCTCGAGCCACTACAAACACCAATGATCCATCCTTCCAAAACGTGTTGATGAAATTTGAAAGAACTTTCAAATGGGCAAGTCACATCAAAATCCTTGACTTTAAGCACCGCGACGTATTGGAATATGCCATAAGCGAGAAACGCAAATCAGGAAAATTGTTCTCCACCTCCAATCCTGCTATTATTAAATCCAAAGAAAAACGCGAGGAACTCGTCAAGATCATGGAAATTGAAGATTTCTTCCAAAACTACACCAGTTTTAATATGACAAACGAATTCAACAGATTGAGAAACTCTAGAATCAGCTTGGAGAACTACTTGGAATTTATCATGAGCCAACAGCATCTTAAGGATATCTTAATCTACTTTAAGATCCCAAAAGATATCTTTACAGAGTTTCCTCTTGAAAAACACTTGGAATCCATCAAAAACGGACTCACTAAGTTATCCAAAGAACTTGACACTATTACACAGTCATCCAACGAACCAGATAAGGATTTGATCATAATCAGGGAAAACTTAAAAGGGGCCCTCAACCACTTGGTTATTTTTAATAAGAAGATCTGCCTTAACTCAAACTTCATCCCAAACCCTCAGGATACAGGCTCTGATATCTTCAAGAAGGACAGAAATCTTTTAATTGAATATCTTAACATCCACCTTAAAGTTACAGTTGGAAATTATACCTACACGCCAGGGTCTTTGTTAAACACAATGAATAAGGAATCCCATTTAATTGAGATTGAAATGAATTCCGAGTTTACTGAATTTAACCGGGAAAAACTTCTTGACCATGTCTTCAATGAATCCGGAATTGATCCATCATCCTTCTTTCCAATCAACACCGTTCACTTTACGGAAGAAGCTAGCAAAGCTGCCAGTATTGTCACTTATGGTTATATTGAAATTGACTCAGGAAAATCCCTTCCACTCTTCAATGACAAAAATTTCCGCTCCAGAGTCATCACGAAATGCGTCCACTGCACTGCATGTGGTTCCCGTGAACACACTCGTTTTGACTGAAAGACTTCATCTTGTGCCATTTGCAAGAAATTATCCCATAGGGCAAAAGATGTTGTAGTTTTGTAACTCTAGTTACAAAAGACATTGATAACACTAATATTCAATAATATTTATTCCCTTGTTATACTTGTTTTTACTTGTTAACTATCTAAATTATATAAAGGACAAACTCAGACTATGGGGGGCATGGCCCATATTTATATTAATCTCAATGGGTTCTAGAAGGTTCCATAAGCTCTAGAATGTTCCATGGAATTCTAGAAGGTTCCATAAGTTCTAGAAGGTTCCATGAACAATGACTAACCACATAACTTTGGATTGCCAACTCAACAGTTGTCAAATTCAAAATCAAATAGACCAGTGCTATGGTTTTATCTCAGATGGCACCACACATCTTTGATTTCCATAACACAAACCCATGAATCAAACTAAGAAAAATCAATAAAATAATAATAGTAAATTAATAAAAACCAAGTAAAAAATAAACCAAATACTATTAACTGGGAAACAAAATTCGAATGAATGAATGAATGAATTGTATATTAACGAGTCACAGAGGTTCTAAATAACATGCAAGCCGGGCATTTCATCAAAATTCAATTTCGTAACCAGGACTCAACCCAACCATGATCTGATAATATAACAAAAAATCTGTTATATTACGATGCGACTAGACTAGATGTAGTTAGTCACGGGTTAGGATTGATTTAGTAATTACTCTCTGAAGAACCAGAGATCATATATATTGAAAACTTTTCATAATCGACGACTATAATTATATACTAATGGTTATGAGCTTATGGTTATGAGCACGTGTATCGTTGCTTATAACCAATAGCTCAAACCATACTATAACAAATGTTACACTCTGCTTCTTGTCGATGATTGTTCTCGACCAAGAAGATTCAAATTAGGTGATCACAAAGATGATTCTTTCTCTAAACTAAATAAAGGTGAAAATAAGAGGAATGTTGAATCCTTAAATAAATAAAATGATTGAAACTAATAATGGGGTGTTGGACCCGTTCTCGGAATAAAAGACTAAAACATAAGGAGGTACGACAAGGATAAGAGATAAGCTGTGGGACATAAGGTAATACCTCGATGAGGTAATGCAGATCATGGTTTCGTATGGTACCATACCGTTGGTAACCAAGACTCAACCCAACCATGATCCAATAATATAACATTATCCCCCCTCGGAGAATGAGTCGTCTCGATCATTATTATTAGCCAAAAAGTCATCAAGCTCGTCGAGGAGTGTAATCCGTTTCTCATGGGGAATTAAACGGATCCAAGTTTCGGGGACAGGCACTGGGTCTGCCTTCCCTGGGTACATGACAAGGGCGTAGTCCTTTTCGAGATCAACAATCATTTGGATTTCCGATATGTTTTCCTTGTACCACGGGTCGCTTTCCACTTCTGGTAGTATCATGTGGATAGCGTGATATTTCCTCACCCATTGTATATTGGTAGTAATTATCTTCCTGCTTGAGACTTGGATTTGGAAGGCGGTGTTATTTAGTACCTTGACGATTTTATACGGACCTTGGAATGGCGTTAAGAACTTTTGCTTGCTACTTCGGGCTGTTCTGAACGCGTGGCGGTGTAATAACACATATTCTCCTTCCTTATACTCCACATCGGAGCGATTTCTATTCACCTTCGCTGTTGTCTCCTTTTGAGTATCGGCTAATTGTACTTGAATTGATTCCAAGATCCTTTCTTGCCGATGAACAAATTCGTACCCCCCAATCATAGAGTCATCACCAATCGCGGTGGCCAATGGAATATCATGAATGATTTGCCAATATCTTGGATGATATCCCAAATCAGCAAAAAACGGCGTCGTCCTAATAGCCAGTTGATACTGAGAGTTGTAGGCAAACTGTGCCATGCCCAAGTACTTAGACCATTCAGTCGCGTGAGAAGCAGCCAACGTTCTCATCAATTGAACCAATACCCTGTTGAGTCGTTCGGTCTGGCCATCTGTCTCGGGGTGGCCAGTGGTCGAGAGATCCTGGGAAACACCTAACATTTTGGTAAGGGTCTTCCACATGTGACTGATGAAGAGTGGGTCTCGATCAGAAATGATGGACATTGGAAGGCCATGGTCTCGGACAACATAATCCATAAATAAATTAGCAACCGCTTCGGCATCATCGGTTTTCTTATGAGGCACGAACACTGCTCTTTTGGTGAGTCTATCCACCACCACGAATATTGAATCGAATCCGCGACTCGGAGTAAAACCTGTTATAAAATCCATAGTAAGGTTAGACCATCTCTGGGCAGGAATCGTTGGGGTTTGTAGCATTCCTTCCGGGCGTCTATTCGTGGGTTTTACCTTCGTACAAATATCACACTTCTTGACAAACAGGGCAATCGTCTTAAGCATCTTAGGCCAGTAGAACCCACTCTCCTGTAACTGATATAGCATCTTGGTCGTACCCATATGAAGCGCAGCCTCGGCCGTGTGGACGCCTTGCAATAACCGGTATCTGGTTTTCCCTCCAGGCACACAAAGCCGGGGTTTGTCCATCGGAGTCATTTGGTAAATGATTTGTCGGCGTCCTGCCAACTCAGCAAACTGATACCGTTGAATAATGGATTTTAGTTCTTTCGGACACTCTAATTCCCCGTCAAGGACCTTCCACAATTCGGAAAAATAAGCATCAGCCTTATATTCGTCTTCACCAACCGAGTCAATAATCATGGCATTGATTTTCATTCGCGATAAAGCATCAGCAGCTTTATTGGTAACTCCGGGACGGTATTTCACCGTAAAGTTAAAGTCCGCAATGAAATCTTGCCATCTGAGCAATCTTTGATTGCCTTCATTCTTGGCGGAATTGAGGTAGGTGAGGGAATGATGGTCAGTTACCACTTCAAATGGAGCGACGAGGTAGTGACGCCACTTCTTCAATGACTCAATGATGGCTAGAAGTTCCTTCTCCCTGACTGGGTACCTAAGTTGGGCCCCGATAAGGCCCTTCGAAAAGTAGGCCACCACGCCCTCTGTTTTCCCATTCGGGGCCACATGTTCCAACACGGCGCCTAAAGTAAAACCAGAGGCATCGGTTGTGACTCGGAGTGGCTTGGTACTGTCGAAATTCATAAGGACCGGAGCAGAAATCAATTTCCGCTTTAACTCGCCAACCGCGTTCTTTACCTCGTCACTGTATTCTATCTTCCCGTTGACATATTGATGGACAGGGCGGGCTAATTCGGCAAAGTGCTCAATAAAACGGCGGTAATAACTGGCTAATCCTATAAAAGAATGAGCTTCTTCCGGGGTGGATACCGTAAATCGTTGGATAGCTTCAATTTTCCCAGGCTCCACATGAACACCGGCGGCATCGATCTGGTAACCAAGGAACGAGACTTTAGCCAAAAAGAATTCTGATTTGCGTTTGCTAATAATTAAACCAGCTTTTTGGAGGGTAGATATCACAGCATCGATATGCTTACGATGCTCGGCCTCACTTGTGCTGAAAATCAATACGTCGTCTAGGTAGACGACGCAAAATTCTTCAAGCGGTAAGAGTAATTCATTCATAGCCAGTTGGAACGTGGCAGGAGCATTCGTGAGGCCAAACGGCATGCAATTCCAACCGTATTGGCCAAACGGCGTGACCATGGCGGTTTTGTGCCGATCAGCTGGGCTGATGGCGATTTGATGATAACCGGAAACCAAATCAAGCTTGGAAAATATTTTGGCGTTCTTGATGAGGTCGAGTAGGTCATCTATTCTTGGTAGTGGAAATCTTGACTTGATAGTTATCTCATTTAAGTCTCGGTAATCCACGCAGAGCCGTTTCGTTCCATCCTTCTTCTTAACAAAAAGCACTGGGGCGCCATAAGGAGACGCAACCGGAAATATTAACTTTTGCCGGAGTAGTTCATTAATCTGCGTCTTGAGCTCGGCTCGATCTTGAGGTGAGAGTCGGTATGGAGCTTTGAATGGTGCCTTGGAGTCGCTCAATACATGTATCTCGTGTTTGACTCCAGTGAAGTTAGATCCTCCTTCTGGTAACTTCAATTGGAAAACATCTGCATATTGTTTAAAAATCTCTTCTTCTTTTGTAGTTCGAACTCTTTCTTGTTCGTTAGTCACGTGGTCATCCGCGACCATTTTGACCAAAGCCAAATAACAATCAGTTGACTTACTCTTTAAGAGCCGGTTAGTCTCCTCAGCTGATAGGAGATTTAGAGTAAGCAGGTTATTGGTTTGATTTTTGTTCTCTTTAATTTCTTGAAACAATGGTAACAATTCCTGATAAAATTGTATGAAAAAAGGGAGTCCTAAAATGACTTCCTGGTCTACGTTCTGGGTGACGAACCCTCTGAAGTTGTAATCGATCTGACATGTATTGCGTGATATACACATGTCAACATTGGACCAATAAGCCAACCGTTCATGTGGCTTTCCAAAGGCGTCAAACACTCGACGACTTCTTTTTAACGGAATTTCTTGTAGTCCCAACTTTTCCATGGTGCTCTTTTTAATGTAATTAGCAGTTGCACCACAGTCTAATAGGGCGGTTACATTGATTGAACCTACCTTAACATTCATAGTAATGAGTGGTAGATTGAGAGGGTCAGCAGTAGTGGTAATACTAGCCAACACAACGGGCTCTGGGTTGTGTCGGCTTACCAATTTTTTGGCCCTTCAACCATGGCAATATCTTGGAAAGGTTCTTCGTCCCTTAAGTCTGCGGATTTAATAGCGGCTTGAGCATCACGAAGTTTTGAGCACTGATGGACCATGTGTCCTTCCTCCTGACATAAGTAGCAGCGCAAAACCCTTCTTGGGCCCCTTGGACCCCTAGGTCCTTGGGATTGAGGCAATGCGTTGATACGGGTCCTCTTCGGAGGGGTCTCCCTCATGCTTGATCGGTATGATGGTTGGGTCCGAGTACCAGCAAAAACCTTCATCGCCAAGGGCGCGCCGAACGAAGCCATATCGAGGATGTCAGCATAACGTTGAGCCTCCATAA